CGCACTTCGATCCTTCCTGTCTTCTTCTTCTCGTTTCTTTGAGAACCTCGTGATTTATTCTTATTTCGTAAAAACCTTTTTAGTAGATATCTGAACAGAGCAACAGCTCTGATTTGTTGACCATATCATGGTCGTTTCCAAGGAGTTGGAGGATGGTTTTGATTTGGATAAAATCGATGCGGAAATCAAAATCGAGAAAATCCGGCAGACAGCATCGAAATTATCGTGGGAAGGCTTTCATCAGGCTCTTCGCCGAAATCTGATGGTTGGTTTTTCTCATTTATTTTTTTCCTGATGATTGCTATTTATGAGGAAGTTACCATTACTTAAAGTATTCTTTGCAGGAAAAACGTTTTGTCTTCGACACAGAGGGACGGATCGATCTTCTGCAAGCCATCTCTACTATCAAGCGTAATCTTCCCGGTGCGCGATTCAAATTCATTTCTTGACCTCATTATCTATGTAAAGAAAGAGCTCCTTCAATGCGGTCTTCTGTGAACTTTTGATGGAGAACCATCAATGTCCTTCATACATGGTGTTCCAAAAAGATGTGCCTACTGCTTGGTTGTTAATGACTCCCTTATAGTGAAGTCTTTCGAGAAGTTTTGGTAACTCTGTAGAGCTGGGTTCGACTAAATTTACAGTATGGAGCGAGCTACGAATCATTTTCATTTCTGTAGTAGGAATTTGCAGCATATGGCACTGCTGAGAAAACCGTTAAAAAATTCCAAAAAAATGTGAAAAATTGAAAATCAAGTGAAAATGCGAATTAGAAATCTCTTTTCATGACTGCATATTTCGGTGGAATTTCGAGGAGGGTTCGAGTAAATGAGGGTCGTGTTTTACTCTCAAAATATATATTAGGTTGATAAACAGACGCTGAAACTTTTTTTTTGAAAACAAACTTTTTTAAAACTTAAAAAAAATTTCAAACATGAAACTCGCACTTCACCATAACGATTTTTCATAAGTTATGCCAGTACACCACAGCAAACAATTTCTGCTGGTTTCGACCTGATCAGGCCATCCAGGAAGCTCTATGAAAGCGCAAAAACTTGTGTAATGCATCCAGCATGCATGAAGAACTTGTTACAAAATTTTTCAGATTTTTCGGAATTTTTTTCCAAACGGCCTTTTCAAGGTGGCGCCGTATACTGCAAGTTTCTACCGTGCTCCTACAGTAATGGAGTTGGATTCTTAGTTTGCCCCATACTATATATCTAAGTTGAAGCCAGGTCTATGAAATGGTACCTAAAGCTTCTTGAAAGACTTAAATACAAGAGAGTTGTTAACGATCAAATAGTAGGCACATTTTTGGGACACCCTGTAAATTGTAGAATACGACAAAAGTTCGAAGGGTCGTGCAATGCTGCTTTTACCTTTGACATAGATGATCAAAAAGTCATGGCACCGGGATGTTCTTACCCTTTCCATCTCTGTAGAGATAGCAGTTTACCATTTTCTATAGCTCTATACTTTCAGTTGACAAAAACGCAGAACTACCCGTGAAATTGAAACAATTGTCGGATAGCTTGGAGTAAGTTGATTGCGAAAAAATTTTTTATTTACAATATTCGCATTTCAGATGTGTGTTGACTACACAGGGTGCAACTACGCTACTAAAAAACGTGGATATATCAATTGAATTCGCGCATGAAGGCGATAATGTAAGGCTATTCGAACTTTCTTCGGTTTTATTGTGCTAATCATTATCAAATCGTTCAGGTTACCGCATGCAGAATTGGTTATTTTGGTAAACCAGCAGTAGCTTGCGATGAAGCGGTTGAATTGATACAAGCTGGAGAATTCGGTAAACTTCGTAGCAAAATATTTGCTGTACTGGCAACAATTCCCAGTGGGT